TTTAAATCCAAGAAATACATGAAAAGAAAATGCAATACTTTTAAAATCACTTGCAAAGGTTTTGGACTATGACTTGGGATTATTGGATTGATTATTCAACTTAATTGATTTGTCGATTAGTTTGCTGAACTGCTTACTCTTTCCCCCCATTTCCTCCTTTTATTTGTTGCTGTAGAAAATGGCTCAATATTTAGGGGCAATGAGATACTTTTGGAAATAAATAGAAGCAGTTAGATGACACAGTGGATACAACTCTGGACCTGGAGTCAGGATTGTCTGAATTCAAATCCAACTTAGTTACCTCTGTGGCCCTGGACAAGTCATTTATCTTATTTTTGCTTCAGTTTCCTCTTCTGTAAAATAGGGATAATAATAGCACCTACTTTGTAAGAAAGATATAAGGAAAAAAATCGAGGTCATGTTTATAAAATGCATTGTAAACCTTAAAATATTATACAAGGGTTGATTATTGTTAAATAAATATGTTAAAATATATTGATATGAATTTTTTAAAATACCAAAATAAAAAATAAATACCATAAAATGTGTTTGTGATTGAGTTAGTGTGCTTGGTCTCTTCAATCTCTTCTGATGAGTAAATAGGAATATTTTCAAGTTTAGTCTCTTCATTTTAGCCCTATACACATCAGTCTAAATTGTCAATTTGGAATTTGAAATTTAAAACTCTAGATCTGGAAAGGTCCATGAGTCTATCTGCTGTAGACCCCTATGTTTTGACAGAGAACTATGTTAGCCACTCAGGACATATGGATTGATACAGAAGTCTAGGTTTGTCAAGATTAGCAACCTTTGATTAGAATAAATATGGCATCTTCAATCTCCTTTGACCCATATTCCCCGGGCTATTTGGAATCAATTGTGCTGCTAAAGTGTGCCACAGTTAGACCACATCTTGTGACTGTTCAGCTTTGGGAATCATCTTTTAGGGATAATACTGATAACTTAGAAAGTGCCCAAAGGGAAGCCAGGATGCCATCTTGATGCTCTGGTCTCTGAACTCTGCGGCTTCTTCAGGATTCCAGGCTTCCTTCTCAATTCTTGGGGACTGCTAATTTCTATTGTTCTCTTGTTCTCCCCCATGCCTAGAATGCTCTCACACATCTCCACCTACTCCATTAAGTTCCAACTAAAATCTCGTCTTCTACAAGAAACCTTTCCCTACTCCTCTTAATTCTGTGCCTTTTCTCTCTTAATTATTTCCTATGTATCCCATTTGAGCATATTTGTTTGCTTATTGTCTCCCCTATTAGATTTTAAACTCCTTGAGGGCAGTCTGTCTTTTGTTTCTTTTTGTTTCCCCCGCCTCTAGCACAGTTCTTGGCACACTGTAGGTACTTAAAAATTATTATTATTATTTATTGACTGATTGACAAATGATGATTGATTGAAGGAACTTGAGACGTTTACTGTGGAAAAGAGAAGCTGTAGGGAGGATATGACAACCACCTTCAAATATTTGAAGGGCTATTCAGTGGCAAAGGGATCAGATTATCTCTGCTTGGCCTCAGAAAGCAGAACTAGGAAGGAGGGAATGTGTGAAAATGAAAAGAGCACTGACTCTGGAGTAAACACTATTCATTTCAGATCCTACCTTGGAGACTTATTGTGCAACTGGGGCAAAATCTCTTCCACACATCTTGATTTCTTCTTTGTAAATGAAGATGGAAAAATAGATGACCTCTGAGGTCTCTTCCAAATCTAGGGTTCATTCCACTGCCTTTACTTTCAAAGAAGTAAAATACCTTCCTAGCCATTGAAATTATCTGAAAATAAAATGGGACCTCATGAGGTGGTGAGATCCCCATCACTGGAGATCTCCAAATGCTGGATGACTTGTTGCAGAGCAGTAACTGGAATGAGGTGATGTGGGCTTATTCCCAGAGTACCTACAGTTAAGGAGTGATGACAGAGTTTAAACTCAGAGGTCATAAGAAGGGAGAGAAATCCAATACAAATTTACAGACCCCAAGAATTGAGAAGGAAGCATGGATCCCTAAAGAAGCCCCGAAGTCCCAGTAAATTGAACACAGGGATTGGTTTCTTGGTAAGATCATTGTCAAATTTTAACATTAACCATAAAATTATGAAAACAATTATCACCTACAAAACTATGTCAAGTATTGACCAATATAGAGTTTGATCAATGAACTACAAATTACAAATTAAGAACAGAGTATCATTATACTTTAATGTGATTTAATGTTAACAATGTATATATACACATGTTAGAGATAGATGACATAAAGATGATAAAGGTAGATTACAGATAATATAGATATAGCCATTAGAGATAAAGATGATAAAAACAGAAATAGAGATGGAGATACAGATAAAGGCTGATATAGAGACAGAGACAAAGATAGAAATAGAGATATTTATGATTTTCAGAGTAGGCTGAGGCTTACTAAACATTCACTTGAGGCAGCTGTGGTATAGTGCTAAGGTAACTGGATTAGAGGATGTGGTTTCAAATTCAAGGCCTGATACTATGTGATTATAAACATAGCAGAAGGCCCAGAATTTTGTCTCTCCAGGCCCATTTGCTTCCCTGTTAACATTTGGCATAAGACACTTGATGCACATATAATTCTGAACAAAGACTAGTGCAGTTATTTCCTGAACCAAGCATTTATGAGTATTTCTGACTCTATACAAGTACTCACGTCTATAATTTGGCAGCATAAAGTGGTCTTACCTTATTATGTGCAATTACACATTTCTTTAATGTACTATTTTAAATTGTAGCTTTTGAGTAATAAAGTTTCAACTTGGGAGTTTAAGATATACTTTTATTTTGTTAAGACAAAGTATAAATTTGATAATTTTATTCTTTTCAAAAGGATAAGTAGTATAATATATATTTTGTTGTGCATATTAATTATATGTATATATTTGTATGTGTAATATCTATATATATCTATATCTATCTATATCTATCTATCTATCTATCTATCTATCTATCAATCTATATATATATATGTATACACACACATATATACATTATTTTTAAGACTCTGTGGTTCTCCCTATCTTGCCTAGACTGGAAGTATAGCAGCTATTCACAGGCCACCTAGTGATCCCCTGCTCGCAAGAGTTCCCCATATTCCAGTGCAGACACTGGAATAGCTTAGCATCTTGCAGCTCAGAACTCTCATATTGGTGTGTATCACCACTCATACATGTGTTTATGTATGTATATGTGTGTGTGTGTGTGTGTGTGTATAGTGTGTGTGTGTGTATTTACAAAAATGAAAATATATCTAACTACATTTCATAAGTTTTTAAATAAACATAATTTCATTATGTCAAAATCATAAGTGTAAAGTGTAAAGTGTAAAAACAACATTCTAGTTAAAAAGGAATTGTATTTTGTGCATAACTATTTTAAATGTGTTACATTAGAGAAATGCTGCAATACTTGAAAAGTTGAAACTTTGAGAGGATTCATTTTGTGAGCATTTACTGCAATGTGAGTTATAAGCGTGTGAAATATGTGATTTTGCTTTGGTTTTGCATGTTCTCTAAATTGTCATATGTTCTTTTAGATTTTTTTTAATTTTCCAATTTCATATTTCATTTGTATACCTAGTAGGGCATATACTAATAGAGATAGCAAACAGATGGGTACATGATAGATAGATAGATAGATAGATAGATAATAGATAGACATGAATAATTTGTATTGATGTATACATATACATATAAATATACATTTTTGCATATAAATAAAAATCAAATGTAAACATATTTATTCTGGGGGTCTGTTTTTCTCTCCCCCTCCTCTCTTCTATTTCTTCTCTCCTTTCCTTCCCTCTTCTCCCCTCCTCTCCCACCATTCTTTTCCTCTTTTTTCTCTTCTTCTCTCTTCTCTTCTCTACGCTTCTCTTCTCTTCTCTTCTCTTCTCTTCTCTTCTCTCTTCTCTTCTCTTCTCTCCTCACCTTTCTCCTCTCCTGTCCTGTCCCCTCCCCTCCTCTCTCTTTTTTTCAACCTTTTCTGGGTGGGCTTAACTGACTGAACCCATTCTAGTTAGCTTTCCTTATATACCTTCACTGACATGAGCACAGTCCAATTTCAAAGACTTCCAAGTGTCCTGGGGCTCTCCTCGTTGCATCAATTTTCCAGTGTCTGTCTTCTCCCTATCTAAATTAATCTTAAAGTGTCCATGAGAATGTGTTTCATTTTCCTTGCCCCACACACCAGATTTGTTAGTTATAGCTGAGCCCTTTTCTGATGGATTATAGAGAGGATTCTTTACCATCTATGGCCTGGTCCAAATGGCCTCTGACATCCCTTCCAAATCTGAAATTCTCTAATTTTGCAAATTTATTCAGTAAATGATAAAACCATTAAATCATTCCATAAGCTGTGTCCATAGAATATTATGGGATGAGGAACTTGAACAAGTATCTGGCTAACTTTCTGAGAATGCAGGCCAAAGATCTCAAGCCATAGTACCTTGGTCCCATTAACCAGATAACTGCCCTATTACCATCCTCTGCTGACTAAAATAGACATTCATTCCCTAGGTCTACTCAAATAAACCATGTGCTAGGTTTTGTCATTGTCTAGGGGCACAGATCTTGTTCTGTTTCTGTCGGTTAATTTTCCCTTTGTAAGCCCTGTCACGCATCAATGATGTGATGAAATCTTCCCCCACTTAAAAAGCTATTTAGAAAAAAAAGTCACTTCAAGTCTTCTATTAAGAGGAACACAGTATATATTTCAGAGAAAATAATTCGTAATCTCTAAATGGTATTGATGACCTCTTGCTTTGTGGTTACTAAATAGAGCTTGAAAGTTAGTGTATAAAGTGCTGCTGTTTTAGCTACAGTGCATAAGGCAGTGATAGGGTACTTACATGATGGAACCCTGAGATTGGATACAAAGCAAGTCACAATGCAGTACCAACCACCTCCATTGAAAAAAGGATTTTGTTGAACAATGGATACGGTTGCCATAGCAACACATTGCTTCACACCCACTTTTTCCTGGGTTCAGAAGGTAAGAGTTTGATGCCTTATCAAGGGAAGCAGCTCTGATTGGGCTCCATTATTGCCACTTATATGTTTCCAGATATTTTTTTTTAACTCTCTCTCTCTCTCTCTCTCTCTCTCTCTCTCTCTCTCTCTCTCTCTCTCTGTATGTGTGTGTGTGTGTGTCTTCCTCTCTCCTCCTCTCTCCTCTCTTCCTCTTTCCTCAAATTTTATTTTTTTCCTTTTAAATTTTTCTTTTTCTATTTTTTTTTTCATTTCTCCCCTCATAGAATTTTGAGTGCAGGACCATTTTTTATATTTATATCTCCAGGATAACACAGTACTTTGCATCCATTAGACATTTTATAAATATTTGTTGAGCTGAATTGTTTGGCTTACTTTAATTCTGAAAGGCTGTCACCAGTTTAGCATCCTCAGCTGCTCCTAAAAACTGTTTACAAAATCTTGGAGAAGCTGAGATATGCAGGGGTGAATGAACAAAGTACAAACATTTATTCTTTTACAGCAACCATAAGAAGATGCAATAGCTAAGTGACCATTGCATTATAGGAAAATACTTGAGTTGGGATCTCTTTTTCAGTAGAAATACTTTTTTTTCCTGTATGGCTAGGAAGACCCTTTTTGGAATTTCCGTTTTGAATCCTAAGATTTAGATTTAGACCACTAGGCTAGGGGAGCAGGACAAGAATTGCCCGAAGTGGGTACAGCTAGTTTCACTCTGAAGATATCTAAGACTTATAAAATCAAAAAGCTTTTTTCCTGATTTGATGGTAAGGATACCTACATAGTAAACTGTGTTAACATTTGTCAGAGAAGCAAAATATTTGAAAATTAATGGACAAATTAAGAGGGGTGAATATGTTGATGCAAAGCTTCTGAAATACGTTGATGAAAGTGCTGACCAAGGAAGAGGAATATCCAGTCTGTGCTATGAAGCAAGGAAGAGACACATCAAATTCATCTTAACTAAGCAAAGAGGAAGGGCTGGGGACCTTCAGATGAAAAGGGCAGCTCTGGAAATTTTGCATCTATTTGAGTGGGAACTTGGATGTACCAGATAGGGCAAGGCTATAAGGCTGGCTAAATGCAGAAACCCAAATTGAATAACAAAGCCTCAAAAGGGACTGAAAATAACTGAATGACAACAAAAAGGAATATGTTACCTAGCCCCCAGGCAGGTTGTCCCCCAGCCTCCCTCTCAAAGAAGAAAGATACTTTCCCAAAGAAAAAATCGCAGCAAAGGCAGCAGCAAGAGCGAGAAGCGGCAGTCGGGCAGAGTTTCTAGGGCTAGCCTCAGAAGCACAGGATGGAGAAATGTCGAATTCCAGAGAGAAGAGCTTCCACAGGTAGCTGCAGAAATGGAGAGATGGCATAAATGGTAGCCTTGGGCCACACAACAGAACTATAGGAAGAGAAGCAGCCACTTACAGATATTTGCTGGGAGATGCAACTAGGAGAGCTCTAGCAGGAAGGGCTGCAAATTAGAGTACAAGGACTGGAGTTGGTCCTTACTTCAAAGTATGAAATTTTTCGGTGACTTGTTCCCTTTCCCATAATAAGGTAGCTAGGTGGTGTAGCAATGCTAAGCTGGCCTTAGAAACTTACTGTGATTCTGGGCAAGTCACTTAACCATTGGTACTGACTGTATCAACTGTGATCCTCACAACAACCCTGTAAGTGCTAGCATTGACTCCATTTTACAGACGAGGATACTGAGGCAGAAGTAAGTTAAGCGATTTGCCCAGGGTCACATAGCTAGGAAGTATCGGCCGCAGGGCTTGAACTCAATCCTTCTAACTTCACTTCTATCAAAGTCTCTCACCACCCTGTATTACTTCTTAATGATTTCAGTGGAAATCATTTCTCAGAAAATGAATTTCTTTTCTTCCTTGAGACATGAATTTCTGATTAGACATGTTCAGGCAGAACTAAAGCTATGGATGGATATACCTGCAGTGCCTTTTGGAAGGCTTAAAGGAAAATTGTTTTTAAAGTTTGTACATTCTTCTCTTAACAGGCTTTCTATTTGTGGAAAGAAAACTTCAGAGAGAACAGCCATTCGTTTGCCACAAAGGCAGATCTCATTTAGAAAATGGGATTATAAAGGCCTGTCTAAATATCCCATTCATCAGGAGCTGAGAGGCCTTATTGGGATTCAGTGCGGCAGGAGCTCAGGTGAGTTCTAATTTTAACAAGAAAGAAGAGCTCCTAAGCACATTGAATGGAATGCTGCCATTAGCACAGTCAGCCTGGACACTCCCCCAGCTGCAAGTCCAGATGCTTGGCTTTCCCTACATCATTTTGAAGTGAAACCACATGACAAATGGCAGGAGCAGCCAGTAAGACTGGCAATTACAGAATATCTCTGGCACCTCTATACTTCACTCATTTCCATTCATCTCAAAAACAGGTCACATTTTTTTTTTTCCCCAGCACTGTTTTTGCTCTTTTCATTATGGCGAATCCTTACCAATATAAGAGCATAGCACCTTCAAGGCAGGGCTACAAAGGAGCTTAGGGGTCCTCTAGTCCCATCTCTTCAATTTATAGAGGAGTAAACTGAGGAAAGAGATGTAATGGCATTTGGCCAGCATCAGACAGGGAGTAAATGACAGAGTCAGGTTTGAACTGAGGTCCTGTGATTTCGTATTCACAACTCTTTCCATTGTACTTCTGCATCCCAATATGATAGTCACTTAGGTTTCTGGCAATGGCTTTGTGCAGCTTCCGAAGTAATTGGCTTAAAGGGTACATTCATTTTTAATTTTTTTAAACTTTATTAGCAAAATTAATCTTAATACATAGTAACAATCCACAAAAGATGTGTTCCTCTTGCCCAGTTATGTCAAAAATGATAATATCTAGCATTTATTGAACTCTCTACGTTTGTGAGATGATTTCTAAATTTTACCTCATTTTATCCTCACAACAGCCCTGGAAGGTAGGTGCTTTCATTATCACCATTTTTCAGATAAGGAAACTGAGACAGACAGAAATTAAGTGACTTGCCTAGGGTCATACAGCCAGTAAGTGTCTGAGGGCAAATTTGAACTCAGTTCTTCTTTACGCCAGGCCCAAAACTCTATTGACTTCTACATACTAGCATTTATATATTGCTTTAAGGATTGCAAAACATTTTACAAATACTATCTCATTTGAAATGAGAAGGATTCAATAACAACTCACTGTAAAAAAGCAATGCCCTGTCTACTTTATTTACAAAGACAAAATGAAAAACATTCACTGTTCTTAATAGGCTTATATTCTTCATATGCAGAACATTTACATAGTAAACACAAGTCTAATAAGAATATATGCATATTTATAGATAAATGCTTGAATAATTGATACAAACTGAAGAAAGGACTAAGAGAGCAATTTCCTCCCCTTCCTCAATTTCAGGACCAAAGGGGAGGCATGGTAATAACTGGGAGGGGGGGGTTCTTTCACTATTTCTTGCAAAAAGTGACATATGAAGGAAGCTAGCCATCGTAAGAGATAGAGGGAAGGAGGAGTACCTTCCAGGCAAACAGACTTTGAAAAGGGGTGGAAGTAAGATGTGGAGTGTTGAGTTCAGGGCATAGCAAGTAGGTTAATTTTGCTGAAATATATTGTGTAGGAGGGAGAGTAATATGAAATATCTGGAAATAAAGCTCAGAGGCAGACTGAGAAGGGTTTTCAGTACCTGGGTAAGGAATTTGTATCTTTATCCAGAGATAGGCAATATGGAGGGAACTTGGTGCTATGGAAAGAGTTTTGAATGTGGGAGTCAGAGGACCTGAGTTCAAATCATTGTTTATCCAATTACTTACTCATGTAACCTTGGGGAAGTCACTTGAGTTCTTTTAACCTTAATTTCCTCACCTGACAAATGAGGAGTTTGACCTAAATGACCTCTAAGTTTCTTTCCACATCTCTGATTTTATGATTAATGGGAAGCCACTATGGGGTAGTGAGCAGGGTAGTCACATGATCAGACCCGTCCTTTAATATTATTTTGTCAGTTGTGTGGAGGATGGATTGGAGAAGGAATGGAAAGTGCCAGGCAGTTGTAGCAGTCCAGATGGGAGGTAATAAAGGTCTGAACTAGAGTATTATTCATGTGAGGGGAGACAAAGCATTGTAAGGTGTGTAAACTGCCAAGCATTCAACCTCTACTTCAGAGAGCACAACTCTGATAGGCTGGCCATGGTTGTTGTTTGAATCCAAAGCACATACTTGCCAAAAAGACTATTTTGTAGAGAGCTTAGACAGGGCAAGCACTCACAGGGTGGTCAGAAAAAGTGATACAAGGACACTCTCAAAGTCTCTCTTAAGAATTTTAGAATTGATTGTGTGACATGGGAGACACTGGCACAGGACTGCTCAGCATGGTATGCCCACATCACAGAAGGTGCTGTGCCCTATGGGCAAAGTAAAATTGAAGCAGCTCAAAAGAAATGAGATGAACTAATTCAGAGAATCCATCCCAAATGTTCAGATGGACTATTTATGCCCCACCTGTAGCAGAACATTCCAAGCTCATATTGGTCTGATCAGCCACAGTCAGTTTCACACACTGAAAGCTGACTCTAGCATAGTGATGTCATTTTGTTCCTCTTCAAGAATGAAGGACAAAAGCCAACCAACCAAAGTAAATGTAGAATCTATGAAATTTGGCAGCTGACAAGATGAGAGTGATGAGAGATAGTTAGGAAGAGAAGATGGTTCTGCTTTTGAAAATCTAAGTGGCTCAGAGGAGGATAGAGCCATTAATAGAAATCAGGAAAATACGGATGAGGGATATATTTGGTAAGGCAGGCATGTTGCCAGATCGTAGGATTATAGCTGTAGGGATGGAGAACATCTGAGAGGTCACGTTGCTCAAGTCCCTCATTTTACATATGAGAAAACTCAAATTCAGGAAGCTTAAATAACTTGCTGATTTCACACAGGTAATTAGTAAATTATAGAGGTAAGGTTTTGAAACCACGTTCTGCAACAACTAATCCAGTTCTTTTCCCATTGTGCCACATAAGGAAAACGTGTAATCCTGGTTTGGATGTGTTACGCTTAGGATGCTCCCTGGAACATCTGGTTTGAGACCAACAGACATCTGGTTTTGAAAGGCTGGATCTCAGGACATCATCAGCATAAAAGGCTCAGTTAAGCAGTCAGGTAGTGAACAAGCATTTATTAAATTCGTTGATTACTTACTACATACATGCCAGGCACTGTGCTAAGTGCTAGGTATGCAAACATAATCAGAAAAAAAAAGGCCATCTCTGCACTCAAGGAGCTTACATTCTAATGGGGGAAGACAAGACATAAAAGGAAGGTGAAAGAGAGGGAACAGGGCATAATAAAGAAATACGGCTTGTGTCTTGGAGAAAGAAGAACAGATGACCAGTCTGGATGCCCTCATTGAATGGAGGGTCTGGGAAGATCTATCTAATCAGATAGAGAGGGTACAGGACTCCCAAGGTGTGAATTCAAGGGATGAAGAGATTTCTGAAGCATAGTGGAAGAATACAGAGTGTACTCTGTTAAGAAACAAACTCATCAGAGTTGATGAGGCCATCAATAGAAGACAGGAGTGAGTCCCCAGGATGTAGCCTTAGGGTGCAGCCCCTATTTGTGACCAGGGCACAGGTAGTCAACTAAGAAAGGTGATTCAGAGCAAACCATCAAACAGGTATGAGGAGAATTGGGTGAAAGCAGGGTCAGGGGTCAGTACTATAAGAGAAGTGATCTCTCCCCATGACCAACAAAGTGGTCAATAGAGTCAAATACTAGAAGATGACCATAGGTTCGCAAAGTTTATGCCAACAGAGTACAAGTTCTGGCAAATCCTGTAAATGCATGCAGTAGGGAGCTGGCGATGGATTGTGCTCTTATTATTTGAGTAGCAGACTAGCTAAGTTCAGAAAGATTCATCATGATGCTGGATGGTGAAGAAGTTTCCAGCCACCAAAACTCTCAAAGATGGTCATTCAAGTCAATTCTAATCAACAAGCATTTATTGAGCACCTGCTACGTGCCATGTATGGTGCTAAGTACTGGTCTTTCTTTCCTCCTTTTAGAGCCGCCTTCTAAACTCAGTTCCAATGCCAGCTTTGTATATCTTTCTTTATCTCCAGCTGCTAGTACCTCCATATTCCTATATCCATTACTTTCAATTTACCTAGTATGTTTTTTTTAATCTACTTATATGTATGGATGTCTTTTTCCCTAACAGAATATGAGCTTCTTGAGGACAGGGAATATTTCATTTTTATCATTGTATTCCCCAGAGACTAACAAACATAATGACTTGCATTTAATAAATACATACTGGTTAAAAGGAAAGAACCAGCTGAAGTGCTCTAGGAAAATGAGTATCAATTCCTTGTGAAAATGACAATCTTCTGGGACTGGACTTGAATGACTGGACTGGACTGCTAGAGCCATACTCCACCTAATAAAGCTAATGTATTCAATGAAAACATGAAAGAAAATCTACCCTAAAGGGGATGTTTATTTCCATTGTAATTACATTATAATTTGTGAGGTATATCCCTAAGGGGTGAGAGAAATGATTATTAGTAACCAATGAATATCATAGGGATCCAGGGTTTGCTTGTTTGCTTTTTTTTTCCCTTTTCTATTTCCTCATTTAATTACTAGGTCAAGGCAGCCTCTGAAGGAGGCTGTGAAGGGCTCATGATGAGATTAGGTTCATCCTGGGTGAGACCCCACCCAACTGGGAAAGCTTAATTCTGATTAAAAGGTAAAGCCCACCTTATCTAGGTGAATTCCAGCGCCTGATTCCACTACTTGAGTGGTCTGGGCCAAGGACAGATCCTTCTGTACAGATCTGTATAGATATATGGAGGCTGATTTGGATGAGGAAATGAGTCTCTTTGTCCAAGAATGACACAATCAGAGTCAAGGTCCTCCAGTCCCTCATTAGAATAAGCTTACATCTCATTGTAATATTAATTCTTTCAGTGATTGTTAAAGAGTTGATTTCTGCCTGTTGGGAATACCCACTCTTCCAAGTGTATATAAACATTTAGAGGCACCCCAGGTACATCTTTGGTTTATAAGAGAAAACCACTGACCTCAATCTATTAATTATTTGCTAGCCATAATTAATACATTCCTTTTTAATGACCCAGAAACTATGTCTCTCAGACTTTTAATTTGTCACAGGGGACAAAACCCATCATATGCAAGAAAAAATTATGTAGCAACTATTATGTGCCAATTACAATATTGGGGATACAAAGACAAAATGAAAATAAATCGAGGATCATAGCTTCAGACCTATAAGGGAGTTTAGAAGCCAACTAGGGGCAGCTAAGTGGTGCTATCCACTGATAGAACACCAGCCCTGGATTCAGGAGGACCTGAGTTCAAATCTAGCCTCAGTTATGTGACACTTACTAGCTGTGTGACTGTAGGCAAGTCACTTAATCCCATTGCCTAGCAAAAAAGAAAAGAAAAAAAAGCCATCTTGTGTAATCTGTACATTTTACAGATGAGGAAACTGAGTCCACAAAATATTAAATGACTTGCCTGAGGTCACACAGGCAATAAATGTCAGAGGTAGCATTTGAAGCCAGGTTCTCCCTGTGTCTTCAAGGTGCCTACGTTTTACTGGAGGGTATACAACATAAAACAAATCCCATTCCAGGTTGTGATCCCTATATCTTCACAAAAGTGGTCCTTCATATCTGGAATCTATTCCTCTCTCACCTCCAGCTCATCAAACTCCTAACTTCTACTTCAAAGCACAGTTTGGGAGGGAGATCTCTTCCTACATAAGTAGTCCTTCTTATTTCTATTCTTTCCCTCTTGAAATTATTTTGTATGGCTTGTATATGCTCTGTATTCACTTGTGTACACATTATACCCCACACCCCTATAATGAAAACTTATTGAGGGCAAGACCTGCTTTCCCTTCCTCATTCTCTTTATTATTCAACTTCCCTTTCTTTCTCTTCTAGAATTTTGTTCTGATTCTTGGTCCTTATACTTATTTAATCCTTCAGTTTCTGTTTTAAACCTTCAAAGGTATCTAGTTTGGGTTCCCTCTTCTAAACAAACTCTATGTTATTGCTTCATAAATCTTGTTTCCTGCCAATTCCCTTTTCTGTTATGTCTCACTCTTAGAAATCATAATTCCTACAGAAGATAGGATTTTGGCGCAATATTAGAATTTTTCCATGCTCCTGATTATGTGGCTTATTTTTAACCTTTGCTCTCCCCATGTTTATTTTTTACTGATTTACTTTGAAATCTCCTCCCTGGGTGCATTCCCTCCCACTCTTCCACAGGTTAGTTGCCCAAGGAATTCTGATCCTCTTTTTCCTGTGCCTGGATGAGGGCTATCTCTAATTGCCAAAGCTCTGCATATGAAACTCATTGTAAGGTCCCCGTTTCCCTGTACAGAACATCTCTGAGACAAGATAATTTATCAGTGGTACCCTCTTCCATCACTGAAACAAGACTCCATCCTCCCCTTTCCCCATTTCTATCTCTTTTTTTGTTCCTTGCCCATCATACTGGATGGTGTCTTCTTCCCAAGAGACTACAGTAATTTTTTCTTTACTGTTAGCTTTTGACTTAATTAGAACATATCACACATTCTTCTCTGTCTCTTCCTTTTTCTTTCCCTCATTTTATGCTTACTCTCCTGTAATTTAGTTCTCCCAACAAACAAACAAAACACATTGATTCATCAAAAGGTGGGGTGTTGCAAGTTTATTTTAGTTTCTAGGTAATTAATAAATTAATATTATTTGAAAGCTGGCATTTCCAGCCACTTTCTACACCATTGCTTCATTTTGAACTCTCTTTTATACTTGTCTCCTCATATACTTTCAGAAAGATTTCTCTTAATGGTCTGTTCATTGTTATTTTATTGTAGTGGTCCTTGCTTGCTGTATTTCTTTACCATTCTTGTAATCTGCTATCTTGGGTGTTTGAAAAGAAAACAATTGCTTCAGGTCTGTTTTTCTTTCTAGGAATGTTTCAGACATCTCTTTTTATTGAACATATTTCTACATTAATGATGAGCCTCAAGTTTGCAGGATTTATCACCTTGGGTTATGCTTTGAGTACTTTTGCTCTTTAGAAAATATTATTTCTTTCTTTTCTGTGGTTTCTGGTGGGTGCAGAATAGTCTCTTGTTATTGAAATTTCACTTTCTTTATATTCAAATTTTTTCCTGGTTATTTGCAGATTGCAAAATTTCACCAGTATGTGTTTTGGTATGTAGGACTTTTCCTTTTTTTGTTTGTTTTTTGCCCCTTTCCTATGCAAAAAAAAAAAAAGAAAGAAAGAAAGAAAGAAAGAAAGAAAGAAAGAAAGAAGAAAAGAAAAGAAAAGAAAAGAAAAAAGAAAAGAAAAGAAAAGAAAAGAAAAAAAAAGAAAAGAAAAAAAGAAAGAAAAGAAAAGAAAAGAAAAGAAAAGAAAAAAGAAAGAAGCTGTTTTATGCGTTGAAAAGGTCTGGGCAGTTTTCTTGTACTATCCTTTGCATTATGGTTTTCATGTTTTTCATTTGTGTTCTCCTGGAAGACCTATAATCCTTAAGCTGTTTCCATGTATCCTGTCTTTGAGATCCATGTGTTTTCCTTTCATGTTTATTTTAAAGTTCTTACTTTTTGCTTCTCTTTTTCATTTCAAAATATTTGCATTCATTTAATTAGGCAACTAGTATTTATTAAGAGCTACTATGTGCTAAGCACTAGGTAAGCTTTGTAGCTACAAAGAAAGGTAAACAAAATAAAACCCAAAAAGCCTGTTGTCAAGGAGTTTTCAGTCTGACAGTGGAGACAGCATGCAAACAAATATGTACAAATAAGATAAAAGATAAATTGGGGGTAATCTCAGAGGGAAGGCACTAGGAATGGCTTCTTGAAAATGGTTAAACTTGAAGATGGTGGAGTAAAAGCAATGACTTGTTTGAGCTCTCCCTCAAATCCCTCCAAATGCCTATAAAAAATGGCTCTAAACAAATTCTAAAGCAGCAAATGATTAAAAACTTTAGCTGGAGATTCAAAGGAAGCCAGGGAAAGTGGAAGTAGAGATGAGCATGGAGAGAGCCCCAGGCATGGGGAACAGTCAGTGAAAACACTTAGAGTCAGGAGATGGAATGTATTGTGCGAGAAACAACAAAGAGGTCAGTGTAA